ATGGTGGGGGAGACAGGATCTGGTCTCGGCTCGATGATGCAAGCGGGTGGGAGGCGATGGCGTGGAAAAAAAGAGATTTTTTTGTATAAAAAAATTCATAAAATGGGCTGGAGGGCAGCACCTGCTCGTCATCCCTCCCCCTCGTGGGGTCCTTGAGGGCCCTTTTGGGGAGCGAAGCCATCGCCAGCAGCACGCGTTTTCCTCCCCCGCCCCCCAAATGAACATTTGTGATGTTTTGTCCTCTCCAGCTGGAACAAAAGAAATATCTAAAAATCTGGAAATACAGGAAAAGGAGGTGAAAAGGGTGGGGGGTGGAGCTGGAAGGGAAACCGCCGCCGTTTTGCTCATGGGCCGCTGCCCCCGGTCAGGCAGCCCCTTCCCCATCTGCCCCGGAGGATCCTCATGAAAATCCCCCTGAAAAAAACGAAAACCCAAACAAAGCAACAAATTATTTCATTTTTTAATACTTTCCGTCTCACATTTCCCTTAGCAGGAGAGCATCGCGCCCCGGCGTCCTGCTCATCCCCACCGGCCGGATCCAGGTACGGGGGGCTGGGATGAGCTGGGGGGGCTGGTGGGAGTTGGACTTAAATTCTAATTGGGGGGAGAAAATTCTAATTTGAAGGAGAAAATTTTAATTGGGGGGGGGACTTTAATTGGGGGGAGAAAATTTTAATTTCAGGGAGAAGAGTTTAGTTGGGGGAGAAAATTTTAATTGGGGGGAGAAAATTTTAATCTCAGGAAGAAGATTTTAATTGGGGAAGAAAACTTTAATTAGGGGGAGAAAAATTTAATTTGGAGGAGAAAACTTTAATTGCAGGGAGAAAATTTTAATTTGGGGAGAAAATTTGAATTGAGGGGAGAAAATTTGAATTGAGGGGAGAAAACTGATGTCCTCTGAAAACCTACAGCTCCTCTTTTAAAAAAAAAACAAAGTGGTTTTGATTCAAGACACCAACTTCAAAGAAACCACACACACTCACCCCCTCCCCGCTACGGTCTCACCCTGCTGTTTTCCACCACGGGAAACGCTCGTCCCCTCAAATTTATGACGATTATTTTCCCCAACGTCGTTCTTTGCGCGTTGACATTTTGATTTGTAGCACCCCTCCCCTCCCCGGGTGCAAAATGAATGTTATGGGGGTAGAAATGATATTTTCTGCAACGATTTCCCACCTCCGCCTGCGCTCAGGTGTTGCTGACAACCCAACGGGCAGGCTGAGGACGGGCAGCCTTCGGGACACCGCTGACGGGGGAAACTTTGCTTGGCCGGGGAGGCGGGAGCACCGGCGGAGCTGCAAGCCCCCAAATGAAGGAAACAAGGGATTATTCCGGATTTGGGGGTGCAGGAAGGCGGAAGCAGGCAGGTAACTGCAGAGCAATGAACTGAGTCATCGCGGGGGGGTTCTTTTATCATTTTTTTTGAACACGTCTATAATTTGAGAACAAAACCAGCTGAGGTCAGGGAACGGGGAGTTCAGGAGAGGGAAAAAAAAAAAAAAAAAAGCCAGCGCTGTTCTAGCGCTTCCCTCGTGGGAAAATTTTTGTTGCTCAGCAGACATTTGGGGACATTAGAGCAGGAATTTTTGCTCTAAAAGGTCTCATTTGGGGTTGTTCTCGTCTGTGACGAATCCTCCCTGAGGCACTGGAGTCACCGGGGGATTTTTTGGGGCTGTTTTAGTCCCCCCTCGCCCCCCCAATTCTCAATTTCTGCTTTATTCTGCACAAGAATAAAGATATTTTTGAACAGCTGAGGTCTTAAAAGGACACACACACACCCCAAAAATAAATCTGGGATTTAAGCCCAGCTTAGACATAGCAGCAAAATACTTATTGGTCTCTGCCTTCCCTCCAGCGCTGCCCTGTTTGAGCTCGCCCGACTCTTCCTCCCATCTCCATCATCCTCACAACGAGACAGAAAAGGAGCTTTTTGGGGTCTTTCCCATCGTCTCTTTCTACCCAGGCAGGGACCAAGATCTTGAGGGATGAATTTTTGATTTGATGTATTTCTTGATTTTTTTTAAAAATTTGTTAATTATTTTATTTATTGGGGGTTTTTTTTATTATTTGTTGATTTGTTAATTTTTTTCATATGTCTTTTTAAAAAATTATTTGGCCTATTTGGTTTCTGACGAACCAAAGAAATTAGAATTAGGAAAAAAAGAAGAATTAGAAGAAAACCAGGGGAAGCCCCACTGGGCCAAACCACTGAGATTTTTAGGTAAAAACCCTTAGGAAAGAGACATTTTTTTGGCTCGTGGTGGGAGGGGAAAGAGATCACAAGACCCCGAGATGGAGTGACCATGACTCGGATCATTTGTAAGACACAAAATGTCTCGGTTCGGGTGGGGTAAGAAGTCCACTGAGCTTTAATAATGAGGTGGGACCCAGAAATTGAAACAGAATTTTAATTATGGTCCAGTTTACACCTGGACTTGGGGAGAAGACAACGTTCCCCTGGTAAGGAAGAGTTCCCCAAAGTGCATAAGAAGATGTAATTTTATTCCACGTAGAGAAGAATTTTAGATGTTTCTCACCCAAAATGACAGCGAGTCCTCCTGGCGTGGGGAAGCCAGAACCTCTCAGCATGTGGGCATCAAACGATGCCCGTCCTTTTGGAAGGCTCTTCCCAAAGACCCTCTTGAAGAGCATCACCCACGTGCTTAGGTGGGGGGCTCGGTGCTCTCCACGACAGCCCGATATGGGGGGATGGCATTAGAAGTCTCCTTCACCCTCAAGAAAAAGGAGGAAAACCCCATCTTTTGGGCCCACCAGCCTGGACCTGGCGCGTGTTGCTCCCCTCGGCGCCCCTACAACGGCGTTGAAGGTCTCTTCTCCCACAGGTTACAGCCTTGAGATGAAGCCAGAGGTGCGCGTTGCCTGTCAGGTGATGATAGCAGCGCTGTTCATTGTTCTGCTCATCACGGCCACCGCTTTCGCAGGTGAGCGACAAGGTTTTTTGTCTCATGGGGAACAGCTCTGAGAGATGTTGGGTTGTTGCCCATGTGCCAGACCCACCCCCGTGCTCCCAGAGAAGGTGCCAACCAGCCCAAGAGGCTGTCCTCTCCAGGAGAGGGACATTTCAATGAGCAGGGAAGCTTCGCTGCAGAAGACCAAACCCATCTCTTCCGTGGAGGAGCTGATGTTGTCTGGAAACCCTTAAAAACCAACAGAAAGAGCCGTTTCATGGGTACGGGCATCTGAACTTTCCCTCAGGTGTGGTTTTTTTCAGAGGCCGTTCCTCTGCTGCTTGCCCAAGCAGCAGGAGATGTTGGCATGAGTCCCACCAAGCCAAGAAGCCTTGCAGGAACAAGAGAACGTTTTTTTCTGGCCTTTGCCCATCCCTGCTTTTGCTTTAATGACAGCGAGCGATACCTACGGGCGAGTTTAGGAACAGGGTGGTTCTGGAAATCCTCTTAAAACTTGCGTCTTTGAAGGCCACCACCTTGGTTTTTTCTCTTTGAAGGTAACAGCACCCCCTTTTCTTGTCCAACGCCACAAGCTGGGTCATGATTTGAGTTTGTTTCCTCCCTCCGATCCACCCAAGACTTCTCTTGGTGGCTTAATTTTTCTTTCCTCTCACCATTGAGGCAGATGCAAGACTTTTGGAGGCCACGGGGTGGAGGATGACCATCCCCCCACCTTGGAGAGTCGAGGGGAAGGTGCTGCTCCTTAACACTGCTGCTCTATCACTGACAGTGCAGGCTTTTCAGCCTCATCCCCAACCCTGTTTTCGGTGTCCGTTTGACTGGATCGGCTACAGAGGAAAATGCTACTATTTTTCGGAGGCTGAGGGGAACTGGACATCCAGCCAGGACAACTGCTCAGCACTCGGTGCTTCCTTGGCCATGCTCAACAGCGTGGAGGACTTGGTAAGGAGACACGAGGACGTGCTTAGCATGGGGGGGAGGGAGGTGGGAAAAAGCCACCAACATATTTTTGCCACCTTTTGGTTTCTTTGACTGCTCCTCCAGGATCCTCCTTGGAGTTCTGGGGTGAGGAGATGGGAAAAATGGTTTTCTTGAGGGTTGGTCATCATGGGTCTCCTCAGATTTCTCACTAAAGCCAACCGATGCAAGAACCATAGCCAAAAAAAAGCCCCGTTTCTACACAATATTAAGCTCTGCCTTAAAAATGACACTTTGTGGCAGATTGGAAGGTTCCAGCACCAAAGGCTCCCTAGAGGAGCACAAGCAACCGGTAAAATGTAGATTAGTGGTTGGAAGGAGGCTTCTGCAAGTGGTGGCCGGCCAGAGATGTCCCAAAGCCCCGTGACCTGCCATAACGCCTTTCTCTCTTCTCTTTTTCAGAGCTTCGTGATGAGGTATAAAGGTACCTCGGAGCATTGGATTGGTCTTTCCCGGGAAGACGAGGAGCAACCGTGGAAATGGGTGAACCACTTGCCTTTATCTCACCTGTGAGTCAGTGGGTTTCATCGTGACGTCCTTGGCCGGTGTTTCTTCAGCCCCAAAACGTGTGCGTTTCTTCTGGCACTTGATCCAGGAGCAGGATCCAGGGGTAGCAATGGGACAATGGGAAAGGCAACGTTGAGTTCAGAGCCGGTCTTCATCTTTCCCTTTGAACTGAGAGGCAGACGTGGTGCGTTTGGTGCAGAAAACACCATTAATTAGATCATTTTTGGTTAAATTTTTTTTTTTTTCTTGCAAAGCATCAGGTTTCTTACGGCCAACCGTACTGCGGCCAAACCAGAAATAATTCAGTGTTGATATCGGCGTGTTGATGCCCATGAGAACTGAAGGGGGGAAGGAAAAAGCCAACGTGTGATTTTTTTCTGGCCCCATCCTAAGGCAGGTTGTCTCCTCTGTCCTTCCAGGTTTCAGGTCGGTGGCAGCGGCCTCTGTGCCTACCTGAACGACAACGGGCTCAGCTCCTCCCGCTGCAGCACCGAGAGGAGCTGGGTTTGCAATAAGCCTGAGCTGCAGAGCCCAAGCAAGGGGAACAGGACGAGACGGGCTCAAAATCTTTGCATCAGCTCCTAAAGGGGCTGCAGGGAGCACTCCTCAAACACGAATACCCACTGCACGGGAGGGAAACAAAAGAAAACCTCCAGAAAACCCCACAGAAAAAGGAAACTCGGAGGGGAAAAAAGCCTCTGGCCAAAAATTGCCGAATGTGAAGCTATTTTTGCATTTGCCAGCTCAACTTTGCTGTACGACCGGTGAAAAATTTCCAGTGGTTACTCAGAGCAGCCCTGCAATTCGTGCCTGGTGATGAGTTATTCATAACCCCACTGCAGTTAAATGTCAGACCAAGAGGAAAGCCCCAGCCGTACCAATGACCCCGGGGACGATGGCGGGAGGGTGAAGCTTAGCGAGATGGCTGCAGCCTTGCACGGTGCAACCAGAAAAATAGGGAAACGCCACAGGATTTTTGCTCTTCCCACTTTTTGTGGGGTTAAAAGCAGCGACCGTCAGGCTTGGTTGGCTGAGAAAAGCTTCTCAAAACCTCACAAGTGTGTGGAAATGCTGCAAGGATGGACAACGCTTGCGAGACCTCCAGGAATTTGCTGCTCTCGTCTTCGGGAAAGCCCAAGCTCCAAAGCAACCGAGTCAAGCTGCGACCTTCCGTGGCTCTGTATCAAGAGCAAGATGAAGGTGAAAAGGCTTCCGCGCATCAAAAATCAGGTTATTCTCTCCGAAGGGGTGGGGCCAGGATCAGGGAGGAGCTGCCAAGTCGAGGTCAGAGTGACCAGCTCCAAGTGGTTGGAGCGAGAAGGCGCCATCTTCACCTCAACATGCCAGTGAGGTCAGAGATAGAAGCCAGCAAGGTTTTTAAAGACAAGGAGGAGGAAAAGAAAAGTTTTTCATGGAACACCGTGTCCAGGGAAGACTTCTGAGCAGGTCATCTTGATGAAAGCTGACACATCTGCATGGACAACCATGTCCAGGGAAGGCTTGATGAGCATTTCAACGCAAGGGCCGTCGGTGAAGGCGTAAACACGAGGACAGTAGAATTTCAGAAGCAGTTTTGGTTTTAGTGGTGTTCAGCAGCAATAGCTGAATGATCCAGGTTTTTTCCCCTGGACTGATGAAATCCTTTGGTTTCTCCTCTTTAGGATTTGGTGGCCATTGCCTTCTCAGCTCTCCCAGCAACACTTCACAAAAGTGAGGGTTTTTCTTCGGGGGGGCAGGATTATGGATGTCCTTGGCTTGCAGGGTTGGCCATTCCATCTCCTGGGATCAACAGGGTTTACCCCAGCGTAGCCCAGACCCCAAGGAAACCTTTCCCACTCCCCCTCATCCACCCTCACCCTACAAAAGAACAACCTGCAGATCAGCTGATATTTGAGCAACACATAACACTTGATGACGACTGAACTTAATAATTTTTTAAGGGATTTAATGCACCCTGGAGCTGCTTGCAAGATTTTCATAGGCCAAGACAGCCTGAGGGCAGCATTGGAGAATCGACGAGCAAACAAATTAGCAAAGACTTCGTAATTACTCCTGGAAAACGGAGCCAAGCTGAACCTGGAGTAGGGCGCCACCTATCACCCTGTTGTTGTCATTATTATTATTTTTGCCTGTGTGAGTCAAAGAACTATGCCGAGAGCTCCAGCCTATTCTCTTCCCTTGGTACGTCCTTCAAATATTGTAGAATCACAGAACCAGGGAATGGTTGAGGTTGGAGAAGCCCTTGAAGCTCCCCCAGCCCAACCGCTCCCCTACCCCTGCCATCCCACCCCCAAAC